TTGATTTGTTCAGTTTTCAAATTCCGATTTATCTATGCATTATACCGTCCATATCTTTTTTATATGAGTTTTAGTGCCCTGACAAATGCGTGCGGGCGTATACTCCTACAGGTGGTATGGCCATGGGCAGAAATCGACGTGGAGAAGGCTTTTATCGTTTTTATGCTTGTCGAACACCGCCAAGGCCTACGATATTGACGGGACAAGACGCTGAGGCTGACATAGAGTACGAAATTGACACATTGAAGCCAGTGCCCGGGCAAAAAGTCGATTTTGAGACTTTGTGCTTACCCGAGTCTATTCGCTACTGAATCCGAAAATCCACGCTGGAGAGCACAAAACGGCGAAAAATTGTTCTAAGGTAGGAGAGAAATCAGAAGGGGCGGAGTCTTTCCCACGGTGAAATCATGCTCATAGCTTCCGGAGCGATCTTTTCGGTTCTGATTTCAAGTCAGGCTTGGCTTGGTGGCGACGCTACGGCGACTAACGGAATCGAGAAGATCGCTCTGGAAGCTGGGAGCGTGAATTTACATTTACAGCGGGGAGGGCCTCGCCCATCTCCTGATTTCCATCCTACATCAGAGCCCTTTCCCGCCTTTTTTGCGCTCTTTATTATGGATTTTCGGATTAGCATAGCGAATAGGGTAAGCACAAAATCTCGAAATCGATTCTTTGCCCGAACACTGCCTGTAAGGAAATAATGATCGATTTTCAGTGCAATGAAGTCTGAACTGAGTAACCTTCATCTGAAAGCGGAAGAAATCCAAGAGCAGACTAGAGAGGTAATATTTTTCTCAAAGACGACTATGAGACCTTTGACAGTCATGGTCATAGGCCGCCACAGCAGCCGCAGATGCACAAAGAGAAGTTGGCAAAGCAATGCAGCACTACAGTACAATTGAAACAGATCTCAATCGTCTCCGGAGTCAGTACCGATCTTTGGAGCGAAGGCTTGAAGAGCTTGAAATGGATGACGATATGTCGGTCGTAGACAACATGGTCAGTCACTATTTTCAGCCTGATTCATCTGTTTGAAATAATTGTCAACGTTCTAAACAGATTTGGAGGATTTTTTTTGTAATTGCAATGTTATTCAAGGAGCATGTTCCTTGAATTTTGTAACACCGTGTATATTCCAATTCCAAAGATTATGTTTTAGCGGAAAAGTCTGGACGAACTCAATAATCAGTTGGCTGAGCTTGAGGAGGAGTTCGCGAAACTTGAAGAGGTTTGTTAAAACAATTTTTATCTTTTTTATAATTTTTCTCGTTTTCTTTTGCAGAGCAATTCGCAAAAAGAGAGCGAAATTCAAGACATAAATGAAGGACTACAAGCTTTGAGAGCTGATTTTGCTGAGGTTAAAAGGAAGATTGAGGAATTGGAGGTGTGTTTATATTATAAATTGCACTTGCTACAGCTGTCATTTTCATTCTAGAATGAAGAAGAGGACATCTTGGACAAGGCAAGGAGCATAGATGCGACTATAGATTCGGATAAGAGAAGACTGCAACGGATCGAAGATGTAAGTTTATCCCTCTCGTCACTGTTAGCCTTTTTTGAAATTATTTGTGATGTGTTTGTTTTCAGTCTTTGAAAAGCATGGAGACTTCTCGCAAAGAACTAGAAGAAGAGAAAACGAGTGCGGAAGAGAGGGTTGGTTTGCGATACCTGTTTCTTTTTTGATTTTTTGAAAATGTCGATTTTTGCGAAGACTT